CATGCAGCGGTAAAGGAGTGGCTCCTAATCCTCTTCCTGCTCCCTCTCACAGGTCCGCTGCCTAAAAGGACCGAGGGGTTTGGCCAATCAGACCAATTTTGACGGGATCCACATCGTCAATCACTACGTGGGGGACAACGGGTCTTACCAGTCTTCAGATGAAGATGCAGGCAAGGGCCCAGGCCTCCCGGGGGCCCAGCAGAGGAGCGGAGGCCGTATCCGACTGCGGCCCAACATCCCAGACACCGACAGTGAGGAGGAGGAGGAGGAGGAGGAAGACGAGGACGAGGAGGACGAGGACGCCCTGCGGCTCTCCGTACCTCAGAGCCACAAGTCCACCACCGTGTGACCTCCAGAGGAAGTTCCCAGCAGCCATTGCAGTCTGGCTCTGGAGATCAGAAAGGAAATGCAGCATCATTTCATATCTTATGGATTTACTAATTTACTATACCTTTTTTGTAGTTTTGTCAGTCTGGCATCAGAGAATGACTTTCTGTGGAGATATCAAACTACCGAGCCACAGCGAAGGTACACCACAGAGAGAGACACTGTGCAATAAACCCTTTATGCTATATCACACACTTCATCCAATGGTTTTATACTTTTAAAGCATTTTATAAATGAACATTAAAAAGCGTATTGATGCCGTTACTACTAAGTGTCCATCATGCAGAGGCGGAGTGTGTTCAGTGCTGTGTGTGTGTATCTGATGTCTGGCCGGTATCAAAGCCGCTCGTGTCAGCTGGCTTCAGGAAATGTTGACCTTTGGCCTTAGCACATGCCGCATGCCTTCCACTGGTGCACCACAAGGTCATGTGACAACTGCATACTTGTAAAATATGTAAATGTGTATGATGTTTTTTTTTCAATTCCTTTTGAACTTGAAAAAAGTGATCTATTGCATATGTGATGTTTAGAATATAATGTAAAAAAAGGGACATGAGTTAGTTTAATATGGTAACACACATCCTGTTGAGTGAACTCCTGTGAAGAGAGAAAGAAAGCTGAGGTTCCATCGTAAGAAGAATCAGCAGGAAAGAGCACAGGTTTAGTTTTGAACTTGTACTGACTTTACTTTCTAAATAAGCCCCGCAGTAAGTCTACTCAGCACATATGTTCTGATCATGAGTCAACATGAGTAATGGCTACACGTTTTGTGTATCACAAATTTTGCACGGAAATGGATGACAGTTTTTGGGAACTTTATACTGGGAGATGACACAACATCGTACACTTTTTTTACAAACCCAATGTGGGGAGGAATCAGGAGTCTTCAAGTGTTACCACAGTGAGCACTATATCTGTATCGTGCTCATCCACGGGCCAGTTCCACTCCATTTCATGTGCAAGGACCTGCAGGTGTAACCATTTCTCTGAATGTCTGTATTGAACACTAACTCTATGAAAGACGAGGTGCAAGTGAACGCAGCGTGTCAGGTCCTGGAAATGCAAAAGATTCTGAGCGTCTACGATGACGATGATGACGATGATGATGTCGTCCCTATATGATGAACAGGACCCCTGGTGTTGTTTGATGGGAGAGGAACACGTTTTGGCACTTTTTGAGTCTGCAGTGCAGTGCAGTAAGGACACAGCAACACTCTGGAGACTACATGAGGTTGCTGTGTGTGTGATGAGTTCACAATAAACCGTTTGATAAACTCTTGGGCTGATGTGTCTCATTACTGTGGGCAGCAGACCCCAGTGAGCGTGGAGATGACTGTGAGCACTTTTAGTTCCTCTGAAGTCTCTCGCTAAGAGTGACTGCTTTCAGGAAGTGATTTCTCGCGGTTTTCAGAGCTGAGCCTCAACTACTAATCATTTCATGCAGAAAACCACATTTTAAAGGAGCATTTATCTTCGAGCATCCTCAACATCAACCAGGTTTGTTGCCTATTTCTGCCAAATTCTGATTTGTATTACACAGTCTGGTTGTAATGGCCAAAGAACTGTGTGCTCACAGTATTTGATGTACTTTTATTGCAGTGATTGATGATGCTTGATATTTTGAACATGCATTTAATGGCGGTTACAGTTAATTACATTTCTATTAGGCTGGTTATAAAAAATACACTTTTCGTATTTGTTTACCTGCTGAACAGACCTGCGTCCCATTGAGTTGACACATAAATCCGTTTGAGATTATTAAAAGGTGTTGAAAGATCAAATCCCTTTTGATGTTCACTCCAGTTTTTGAAATATATATTTCACTAACCTTATAATTGTCCATATTGTAGGTCTGTCCTGAAACGTTGAAAAAGAGCACATTAAATGTGACCGTGGGGGAGGGGCATGGATCATTTGCTGTTTTCACAGAATTTCAAAAGAAATGATGAAATATTGGAACAAAGCTGAAACATAATAAGGGAATTAATTGAATCTATAATATAACAACCACATGATCACGATGCTGCTTTCAGACAGAAACACAGGTAAATCCACACAATGTTATTATTGTAGCTATAATTATTAGTTAGTGTATTATTCTTTTTTTATCTTTTAGTATTATTTGTTCTTTTTATAAACTGTATAATTACCATACATTATAATTCAATTTCCCCAAGTTCATTATATGTTATTTTAGAATGATGACTGTTGTAAACGTTGTTACTATTATTGTTATTGCCATAGTTTGTGTTGCTATAGGTGTGTGTTGTGTTTCCGTGTTTGCTCCTGCAGGATGCCGGTAACGCAGCGTTGTGTAAGTCCTCTCTGGCAGCGGCTGCTTCTTTATCGGTCCGGGCTCCATATCTTTACCCACACTGAGTCCGGATGCCACGGCCTCGCGCTGCCTAATCGAGCAGGGCACGCGGCGCTTTGATTTCCTGCCCTCCATTTACTGATAGGCTGCTCTGTAGCAGAAAGGGCTGCTGTGATAGTGTCACATTCACCCAGTGACATTTACACACTGATGCTGATGATCTGTGCGGTTTGAAAACGCTACAATGTTGGTGAAGAAAATTGTTATGGAAAATAAGACTTAAGCTGATTCATTGATAAATATTTCACGTGTATCGGATGGATAGGCAACTAGTTGCGTGCAATTCGTTTAAAACAGTCACATTTGAATGTCCATCGGTTAAATATTGAAGCATGGAAATAGAAAATGCTGATCAGTCCAGTTCCAATAAATATTGCAGTTAGCTTTCTTATGTATAGTTCTTTGCCTTTCGATAATGAAAGTTCCCGTCACTGCCTCACTGATTCACTCTGCACCTGCAGTGCACAGCACGCGGACGCACGGCTCTTTGTACCGTGCGTAATGACGCTTCAAATGTGGCCGAACAGAAAACAAATGGTCTGTTTTGAATCTTCTTCCTCTGGAGCATAAAGCCCCAGGTAATGTGAAACTGCCACCGCAGAGTGTCTGTCACTATAATGACAGCCTGCGGCCCAACTGACCACCAGACCGGGACTAAGCTCCACCAAACCCTGCCATGTGTGGCCCCCTGGAGCCCGGGCTCTAATCACAATTAATATGCATTTAATGCCAAGACAATGTGAATTAGTGACATTTCTTCGTATGATATCATATTGTTAATAAGTGGAAATCCCTGCAAAAGTCCTTCCAAACCTGATGTACCGGCTGTTATTGTATTTCTATAAGGCCCTGCCTGTACAGAGTTCGCCACCCCCCCACCCACCCCTTTATTTTACCACTGTGCTACATGCAGGCTCTCAGACACCCTGGGGTGGGCCTCCGTGTTTCCTCTCCCCCTGTCAGACTGGGTAAGGCGCTGATAACTGATAAGGCCTGCTGTATCACTCCTTGGAGACACGAGCGGCAGTCTGATGCGAGGTGGGGGTTTAGGGGGGGGGGGGGTCACCTATTGCCTAATCAAATAAGCTGATGATAATTGGCTAAAGGCATACCGTACATTCTGTTTCCTGTTATTAGCAACGTTTACTCATCTCTGCATTCTACTTGCTCCCTTGTGTCCCTTGCACTATTTTATTGCTGTTTCTCTTTAACTTTCTATGTTTAAAATAGATGATATGTTGCAAAGACAGCCTACGCTGTAACCATTGACAGTGGTGTAAAGTAACTACATTTATTCAAGTATTGTACTTAAGCACATTTTTGAGATACTTGTACTTTACTTGAGTATTTGAATGTTTTGCTTCTACTCCATTACAACTCAGAGGTAAATGGTGTACATTTACTCCCCTACATTTATTTAGTACCTTTAGTTAGGCCTACTTTTGAATTAATGATGTGAAATATAATCAAGTGTTGAATCAGACTTTAGTTCCACCTGGAGTAAATCCACAAGCTACCCTGCAGTATACAAAGTCATTCAAACTAGCTGCACCTTTACCAGCTCTAGAACACTTTCATGATCAATCATTATAAAACATATCATATATATGGGTTTGCTATCCTGCTCCAAAATGGTGGAATGAGCTCCCCATTGACATCAGGACAGCAGATAGCTTACACACCTTCCGGCGCAGACTGAAAACTCATCTCTTTCGACTCCACTTCGAGCGATAGAATTATTAACAAAGCACTTATATACTAATAAAGGACTGGCTTATCTAAAGCCAGTTGAGTAGCACTTGAAATGTGTTTGCTCTATGAAACCTGATGTACTTTATGATTCTGTTTTCTTCAAGGTTGTATCTTGTTGGTCGAACGCACTTATTGTAAGTCGCTTTGGATAAAAGCCTCAGCTTAATGTAATGTAATGTAATGTGTATTGTTCTGAAAGGAACCAGTGTGCAGAATGATTACTTTTACTAAGTATATTTTTGATGCCAATATTCTGTACTTTTACTTGATTTGAAAGCAGGACTTTTACTTGTAACAGAGTATTCCTAAACTCTACTTCTACTTTTACTCGAATACAAGATCGGAGTCCTTTTTACACCTCTGACTATTGAGAATTTGAATCATAGGCCTATATTACCAAGAACTGCATTTGCGTTGATGTGAATCTAACAACTCCCCCCCCCCCCCCCCCCCCCCCTCCACCCCGCGGCAGACCTGTAACCGCACTCTGCGCACTGAAACGCCGCGGGCGGATATTTCTTTGCAGACAAGTGAGCGGAGGAGTCCCTGCAGTGACACCTGTCCGCGCAACACCTGGCAGACGGGACGGCCGCAGTGCGCATGCTCTGTCGTCAGGTTGGACGCTCTCTTAAAGCTCCTGACCTCGCGCCTCCCCACCAGTGTTTAGTTCAGCGCGAGCAGCAGCGGTCCCCCTCCCCACAGCTGGATTACTCTCACTCACTGCAGCCCAGAGATGCCTCGCTCCTTCATGGTGAAGAGTAAGAAGGCGCACAGCTACCACCAGCCGCGCAGGCTGGAGGAGGACTACAGCCGGCTGGACACTATACTGGCGCACATCTGCTCAGGTGTGTGCAAATTAATTCCCTGAAATACTTCACTGCGTAAAATGTGTCTTTCAATATTGCATCTTTTAAGCTTAATACCTTTTCCATGGCAGTATGTTAAAGTAGGTGTATTATTGTAAATGTATATTAATTTGTATCACACAAATGGAAAGTGAATGAATTCAAGTATTACTTAGTTTATATTTCATTTTTTTAAATGTAAATGTCGGATATTGATTAATAGTTGCTAGATCCTTATTGAGATTTCACGCTAGAGAAACATCACTTAAATTAATGTAATTATGATATTTATAGTGACTCATTTCTATTCTTTTTTTGGCCTGCTGTTTTTTTAATCCTATAACATTATAAATTGTTGCTAGAAATAAGATAATATTGGCCTTGACATTTTGTAATTGTGCAACGCTAAAACATATTACAAAATTCTGCTATATTACCATTAATTTCAGTAGTTTATTAATCTGCAGTATGTTCCTAATGTTAATGTGAGATGAAATACAGTTTTCAGTGATTTGAAAGCATCAGATGTTCCCTACCTCGTCTCAGATGCTGACAGTCCGCCGTGTGAGCTCTCAGAAGCGGACCAGCTGCAGGAGGACGCCGACATGTCTGCGGACAGGTACGGCCTCTCTCCGGACTCTCTCCTGGCGGACGCCGCAGATTTCTCCCCGATGTCCCCGCTGAGCTGCGCCGACAGTCTGTGCGGCTCCCCGGAATATGAGGACTACTGGAGGCCTCCGTCCCCCTCTGCATCCCCGGGTACACACCGTGCACACTTTTATATATCATTTTACTTTTTAAGCACAATTGTAAACCATGATACTGTAATGCTTGTTTGATTAATTAGTATGATCACAATCCCTAAAAAGTCATGTTTTAACATTTGACTTCAGAGAGAACATTTTTCGTTTTTCATGATTCTAGTCACATTGTATAATATATACAAATACAATAAGTAGGCTATTACTTAATTAACTCGGCTACTTTAAAGATGCTTTTATGATGTGAGTGAATGTGTCTATTTGTAAAGATGGAAAAGTGTATTGTGGCCTTGAAATAACTTTGACAATTCTCTATTAATGTATTATAGTGCACCCAGTAGCGTCAGATATTAGGGTATCATCATCAGGGAATTCTCTTCCATTGCATGACTTCTGATGCCCCTTCGGCCCCGCGGTCTCCCCATCGACCTGCTGTCATTACACTTTCATCTCCTCCCTCTCCAGCAGACTCAGAGAAGTCCATGTCTCCTCTGGTGGATGAGACGCAGCCCTTCTCCGTTCCTTTCCGGCCGTACGCCTGGAGCAGCTTCCCGGGGCCCGGGCTGAGGCCGCCGCTGCTGCAGCAGAGCCTCCACCCCGGTCTGGAGGTGGACAGGGGCCCGGCGGCGCTGGGCTTCTACGGGGACCGGAGCAGCCACCCGGCGCTGTATGCAGAGAGGAGTATGGGAGAGGAGGCTTACAGGAGGCACGCGGCGGCTCTGCTGTTTCCGGAGGGCGGCCTGCACGGGAAGAGCCACAGCGGGAAGGCCCCGGCTGACCTGCTGTGCTCCAGCCTTATCCTCAACGGGGCTTTCAAGTGCATCAAGTGCAGTAAGGTGAGGATGGAGATGGAATTATTTATAGAACACTAAAAACGTCACTGTGTTGTTATTTCCAACAACTGCAATGCCTTATTTCGTTATTTCCACCGCCAGGTGTTTTCTACTCCGCACGGTCTGGAGGTCCATGTCCGCAGATCGCACAGCGGCACTCGGCCGTATGCGTGCGAAATCTGCGGTAAAACCTTCGGACACTCAGTCAGCCTGGAGCAACATAAAGCCGTGCACTCTCAGGTAACTTCAACCTTAAAAACCGCATCCTGCGTGTTGTCGCACCTTCTCATGCTGTTTTGAGGTTGAGGGTGTTGGCTTCCTGAAATCATGACGCTTCTGCTCACGTTTCAGGAAAGAAGTTTCGACTGCAAGATATGCGGTAAAAGTTTTAAGAGGTCGTCGACTCTGTCTACGCACCTGCTCATCCACTCCGACACCCGGCCGTACCCCTGCCAGTACTGCGGGAAGAGGTTCCACCAGAAGTCAGACATGAAGAAACACACGTTCATCCACACAGGCAAGTGCAGAAAGGAAGGATGAATTGGTTGGAACGTCCGGGTTTCTTAAAGAATCTGTGCGTAAAAGTCCGAAAATGCATGATATCATTTAGCTGTGTTCAATTAAAATAACACTCAACTTATACGTTTACTTTATGTGATTTTAGGTGAGAAACCACACAAATGCCAGGTGTGTGGGAAAGCGTTCAGTCAGAGCTCCAACCTCATCACGCACAGCAGGAAACACACCGGCTACAAACCCTTCTCCTGCGACCTGTGCGGGAAAGGCTTCCAGAGGAAGGTGGATCTGAGGAGGCACAAGGAGACGCAGCACGGACTGAAGTGAAGAGACCTCTGAACACCATGTCTTCAAAACATTACTCTTCAAATGAGTGAGGACATCCGACAGACATTTCAAGTTCGCGTTTTTTCAGAATGGCTGCAGTTTGAGGACATTTCTTGGATCATTTTGATCTTCTTTGTAAATGTGAAAGTGCATTGGAAATATGTATAGTATTTATTTATTTTATTAAAGAAAAAAGGTATATGTTTCACTAAATAAGACGGATTTGAAACGAGATGATTCAAACACTAACTAGCAGGTTGTTCTAAAGAACCGGAAACCAAGAGATAAGCATGTGAACTGTGAGAAATGCAGATATGATTAAATAAATGTATCATGTTTATTATGTCGACAAATCAGCTTCATTTAACCCAAAATATGAGTTCCCTCACAAACCGGATTACGATCTGTGCGACGATAGGCCACACAGATGAAAATCTGCGCCTCTCAAAGAGCCGAGGCACTTTGTTGTCAGTGAGACATGCTGCTGGCACAACAGCCTCACTGAGGGATTTCATCAACAAGAGGGTTATTCGGACTTACTCACGAAGCTTCTCATGTTTCCATGTTGCACTATTTATTGTCAGAATGAACTTCTTTGTCGTTAACGAATAAACGTATTTCTTCCCTATCATTTGATTCTCTTGTTGTTGATGATAAAATCATAAAGTACAATACAAACTTTAAATGAAGGATATTGGTAAATCTCCAGAACTTGTGATTTTCTTTATTATAATTATAATTCAAGCAGAACCAAAAGGCCTTCCTCAGCACAATAAACCTGCTGCTGCCGTGATTGTGATTGCCCAGAGGACACCGCGGCACCTGTTTGTTTTGACCATGCAGCCCGGTGTGTAGACCCCAAACACTGAGCGGACTGAACCGCGAACCAGATGCTTGTTACCCTCATGACTGTTGTTTACAAATAAGAGGGGGAAGAAAGAGAAAAGCCGTTTTGTCAGGAAGCTGGCAGCAGCTGTGATCACAGAGGGATTTCTGTGGGGATGGAGTTAGAAATAGTTTGTAAGAGTTTGATAAGAAACGGATCTAATCCGAGGCCTCTGAGTAATTACAGGCAGAAATCAATCATTAAGACTCTGTCTGACATTAAGGGGATACATGAAAGAAAGTGTTTGTTATGGACAGTGACTTAAATAAAGGCGGGGTAATAATGACTTCCATTGACTTACCATTATAAGTCATATATGAAACAAATAATCAGTTTATTAGATGAGCATTTTACATACCATTATTATATATATATTTATTTGTATTAAAACTTAAAGGCAGACAGTTTCTCATTGCTTATTCCAAATGTTAAACAATGAAAATGACATTCATCAGCAATGTGAAATATAAATAAAAAACGGATTTCAGGGTACACATCACCCACATATAGAACATCTATCCGTTAGTCAATACTTCTCTTCATATGAACCATTTACATACCATTGTACATCCACATGTATATTCACATTCACCCCCCCCCTCAGTCATTATACTGTGTCTTCTCCCTGTATGTACCCTCTCCTCCCACTTCAAACGGTCTCATTAAGAAGATGAATAATAATATAATGGAGAGGGGGAGATATACATAACCTCCATTATGTTTTGCCTTTTTGCTTTATACTTAAAATGCCAGTTAAGTGTTGTAATAATGACTGTCATCATTTGATTCTTTCACCGTTTCGTCTTTGCTCTGTCAAAGTAGAAGATAGAAGAGGAACAATCAGTTAGTCGCCTTCCTTCAACATTGATTGAAATCACTGACTCACAAAGATTCTCTATGCCTGACTTCCCCCAAAATCAAACGACATCCAGGCCTGCGAAAATACTGAATATTTTAAACCCCCAGATGAACAGACTGGAGGAGAACAGGAAGAGGCGAGCTCATTTCAAGCACAACTTAATGGAGCTGTGCACCTCTGAGCTGCAGCGTGCTGCAGTGAGAGAGCCATTTATTTCATCTGCAACAACTTCTCATTTCAAATGACATGTGAAGAGAGGGGCTTGTAATAGAGGTGCAGTTTCTAAATGAAATCACCAATGTCACCGATACAAGCTTTCAGGTCATGGTATATAGTGGCCAAACATTTTTCTCAAAAACCTTATATTTCTACAGATCACAGATAGGACAACAATGTAAAAAAAGGTAATCATAAAACATATTAATACAACTTTAATAAAAGATACATTATTCAAAAGCATATTAAGACTGTGTGTCTGTTCTGTGTAACATTATAATTCTAGGGATGCACGATGACACTGGTACCGGAAGACAAAGGGTTCAAATCAAATATTAGCATCAGAGAAATACATATTTCCTCTGAAATGTGACATTAGACAAAATATGCACATATTAACCTGTAACCTAAATTGAAATAGTTTCCTTATTTTGAAACTCATCTCCCGCTGCCAGTGGGCCAATATTCTTTTCCACCACAGGAGAGACTCATTTCTGACAATAAATATGTGTTTCCATATTGGCTCAAATGAGTTGGAAGATTAGGACGATAATCAAATATTGTACATACAGATTATTCCTGTATTTTTATAATCAGGCTTTACAGTATATCTAACTAAATTTCCTTTTCAAGTCACTCGTGTTATTCACAATTATCTCGATCATTTCAATTCACTATAAGTTTGCCATTAAGTGCCTTTAACATGACATCACATGTCACTTGTTAGACGCTTTTATCCAAAGCGACTTACACATTGAGTGCTGTGAACAATCCCCACAACATGCTGACTGCAGTGGGACTCGAACTTGCTATCCCCTGATTCGAAGTCCAGCACACTACCCACTGAGCCACAGCCTCCCTCTGAAGCAGCCTGAAGCAGCCGCCCGACCATGACCTTATAAAGTAACGGGCGGTGGGTAACTTCAGGTGTGTTTCTCAGACACCAACTGAACATTAGACATCAACCTCCCATCACAACTCTCTGACTGAGCAGCGGCTTGTTATTGTGTCGAGGTATTGCAGCTCCTCAAAGCACGGACACAGAGAGGAGCTTTCCAACAGAAATCTCCAAAACGAGCCATTAGGCTGGCAAGATTTGCCTCCAAGGGCACGGCAGATATTTCAAAGCATTACCCCACTGCCCCAAGGCATATGAAATATGAATAGAAGACGGCTCGATCGATCGGAGTGGGCGAGTAATCAGAGCGTTGCATTCTGAGGCTCAAATCTAGGCCTCCATACGTCTACTACGTCCTACTCTACGTCTCCGTCCATAAGTGCACACACTCAAGAAAACACACACATCTGTGCACACACAACCGCACATGCATATACCCAGAGGTAATCCTTTTCTCTGACATATTTGTGCAATTAGAAAGTTCAGGGTCAGGTTTTTGTGGTTTTTAGAGGATTCATTATTAATAAGAAATTAAACATGAATAATAAAAGAGAGATTTCTAGAGACACACTATGCTGTTCCGTTTGAACAAGATAGATGATTTCTCAATCTGGACTTCATTTATTATGAGTTTTGATGTCAGATAGACTGCAGAAAATAATGCTGTACGTAAAATGGAACAAAATGACACTTCAACATTGTTGGGGGAAACACCACAGCTCCATCTCCTGGTTTACAAACATGGAGAACCTCCTCGGTAAAAAAGAGGGATCCAGATCTCGCCCAAACAGCTGACAAGAGTGAATATCTGGAATCAGCAACATCTGGTGAACGGTCAGATTGTACTTTCCATGCAGAGCACCATGTGGAGAGAGCTAATGTGATGTTTCCCTGAGGGCGACAGACCTGCTGTGTATATTGTAATAATAATGTGCTATTTGCTCTCACGCTCTCATCAGCACACTTCACACAGGTTAGACAGGTTACAAAGAGAGATAACCTGAGAGACATCCAGGATAAGCTCTCAGAGCCAAAGCACTGATTAGTGTGTTAGATGCAGAAAAGGATTGAGGAAGTTTGTGGCAGATGCACTTTTAATTTAGGGAACCTTCTGCGTCAGAGAGACTCTCCTGCTCACCTGTCCCCTGCCTTGGCGACTGACACGCCACCTAAAGCTGGGACCGATGAAGAGAGGCAGGGCACATATAGGACATGGCTCTTTTGTTGCAGAGGCTTATTCATTATTCACCTGATCTGAAAAACAGACTGCAAACCAACTGCACAGCTGTCATTGAGCAACAAGGCGTAGACACAAATTATTCATGACTCGGCAAAGAAAAGGCAGCAGAATGAGAGGAAAATAATAACAAGAGACATCAGCGCGGCGGCTGACAGGCCGAACGCGTGTGGGGGGGGCTTCCTGCTGCAGTGCCAGCCGCGGCTATACACACGTCCCTAGACACACCTAACACACCATGTGCACTTTGACATACAGCAATTCATCTGAACAGTTTATTCGTTTGAGAACATTGTTTGTATTACAGAATGATCATGTGTTTAGTCGCGCACATTCATAGAAAAGTTTGTCCCATTTTGAACGAAAGCATCCATCCATCCATCTTCATCCTTGGGAGGTTGGGAGCTGGTCCGGTGTTCCAGCACCCAAAGTATACTTTTCTGGGGGGGCTGAGTAATCTGGGGCCCATGTAGTACTTCTAAGGTACTGTCCCCATCTTCTACGAGACTAGTCATCCATGCCTGTCCCTGAACACCCAGAGCCTTCAGCATTTCTACACAGATCTCATCAACACCTGGGGTTTTGTCACTGGGAAGTTCTTTAACTCCTCAGTGACCTTCTCCTGGAGAATGATGTTGACCCACCCCCATTCTCCAACTCTTCCTCGAACATAGAGGGTGGGTTTGTTGTCGGTTCGGGAGTTCCTGAAAGTGTTCCCTTGAGGCACCTAAGACCATGAGACCACAGCTCCCGGCAGCATGTTCTGGAATGGAGGCTTTGAACATCGCCCACTCTGGTTCGATGGCCCCAGCCTTCACAGGGATACTAGGAAAGCTCTACTGGAGTTGAAAGGCTACCGGACTGGGTCCTCCTCCAGTCTTCCCAGGTGGTAGTTTTTGTGAACCAAAGCGTCTGCAGATTAAATCCACACTTAATATATTATCACCCAAAGTTAGGTATGAAACTAAATAAATAACTTGTTTTGGCCTTCCATTTTGTCACTTGATTGGGGATGATAATTAGCTGAGATTCAATGTAATTCAAATGACAGGTAGATACCTTCAAATAGGGCCCACTGACCTGACATCAAAAACTAGGTTGGCAACATCAGAATCTAAAACAGATAGGTATTCCTATTCTTAACCCTTAACATGTCCTATCATGCTGTAGCTTCAAAGTGAGGCAATTATAATCTTATCGAAATACCTTAGACTAGCTAGACATGGGATTATATTGTTCGGCCTTTCTTCTTTGGTTAGAGATTATTTAAAAATATCATCTTATTTGAGGTTTGCTGTCTTTTAATGCCTTATAAGGTCAAAATGAAGTTTATTGCGGAAAGGTTTCACATACAAGAAATATGCCAAATCTAACTATGCTTTTGCTAACAATGCAAGAAGGGGGAGTATACCATTGTCTTATATGTTTACAATATTTGTATCATGGATGTCATTGTGATGGTCGACTGTTTTGACTTTGTGTTGAAAAGCCCAACATAATATGAAACATTCATGGAGGCCAATACAGGCCTGTGTGTGTGTGTGTGTGTGTGTGTGTGCGCGCGTGCGTGTGGGGGTGGACAGTGTTGTTGTTTTCAGTTTTCAGACCTGTTTATAATGGCATGTCCCAAGGTGTGCGTGCGTGCGTGTGTGTGATTTTAAAGCCATGACCCCCCCCCCACACACACACAGTCATATCAGAAAATGGTGTAGGCCAAATGAGAGCCGACATCTTTCTCCAGCCGCCCTGAAAGCTTTCCATTAGCCGGCCTCTGTTCTGAGGGTCTGGGGCCCTGAACAGCATGAGTCCATGGGGGACCGCTGCTGGCGTGTGGGGGCTGCCTGAGATGGGGACCCACAGGTTTGATTAAAGAAGGGCGGGGAGGGGGGGTTGGGAAGGCTGTCCATTCATTTAAAGACATGTTTATCCGGTTCATTTAGCATTACATATCACTAGACAATTTGGATGTGAGCTGTCACTCAGGAACAGAAAGGCTGCTCTGCTGCCGCTCACTCAGAGTGTGTGTGTGTGTGTGTGTCACACTGTTCCATGGATGGTTTTACACAAATCATTTTATATTCTGTATAAAAGAACCTGTGTTCAATCCTTTTACCATCTCTGCTCTCGTCTTGTTTGCCTGGTTTCGCCTTTAATCTGAAGTCATGTCTGATAACATATGAATCCTGAAGGTGACATTAAAAGGATCTTCTAAGGCTAAAAGGCTTGATAACAAAGTATTCTATTCTCTCGAGGGGACAGAAAACACATGAAAATGAAATCTTATGAACACAAGTGACAAGAAAGAGAGCTGTGTAGCCTTTTAGTGTGCAGATTAAATTCTTGTTCTCCAGTAAAAGGTTTGACATGGCTGTGAATGTGATGAGTGGAATGTAAAGCTGTAAGACCTGTGCACACATCCTATGCTATACCGTTAATGCGAGAATAAGAACAACTGTGCATGAAGAATCAGAAGAGAAACTCGTAGGAACGCTCAGATTTGTACTTTTTTCATCAGATGTATTTTATTAAATTAAAAGGTTTTTAAACATTTGTATACATCTTGAAGTAAGGAACTCAAAAAGTGTGCTTTAATGTAACATTTGTGAACTGATCAACAGAAACACCCTCCCTAATGCCAAAGAGAAACAGGGGGATCCATGGGGGATCTGAAGATCAATCTCACTCTGAAAGGCAGATTATTAGAAGTCATTATCGTGAAACAAAAAGAAAACAATTTTCTTCTATTATTTAAATCAAATGAAAGATGTAAAGAAAGATAAATAAAAACTGTGATTGCCTACATTCTGTCACATATCTTCAAATGTTGAAGCTAACCAGTTCAAATTGCCATTTCCTTTCATTATTATTTTCATAATTTGTAAAGAAATATGAATCAAAGTATTTTAAGCAACAATTGTAATTATGAAGAGTAAGAAGTATATATTTAAATGTGTAAATGTTAGAATTGAAGAGGTTGAATGTCAGCTAAGGAAAAGCAATCATGAACCACCAGGAATGGATCATTTCAATGTTCAACGTCTTAGTTCCTAATGTTATTGCTGAGCTTCCCGATTTGAATGAATGAACTAATGAGTGTATTACACAGAAAGTGTATTATTGGCTTCCTGTCAGTTTCAGGATCCAGTTCAAGTACTTACTTGTTGTTTTTAAATCATTGCATGGACTGGCACCACATTACCTGTCTGAGTTGTTGCACCACCATGCTCCAGCTAGAGCATTGCGCTCAGCTCAGCAGAATATGTTGGTGGTTCCTCGGAGCAGGAAAAAACCCCGAGGTGACAGGGCTTTCAGTGTTGCAGCTCCCAGACTGTGGAACAGCCTCCCAGCACATATCCGGACTGCTGAGTCTATTGAACTTTTTAAATCTCAGCTAAAAACCCACCTCTTTGCACTGGCTTTTAATACTATTGAACATAACATTTTTATATTTGTATGTGTTTTTTATTTATTTATTTTTTATATGTTTGTAGTTATTGTGCTTTTTATTATGTTTTTAATTATTGTACTCCCATTGTGTTATTTAATATTATAGTTACTGCCTGTACAGCACTTTGGTCAACTGAAGGTTGTTTTAAATGTGCTATATAAATAAATAAAGATTGAGGTAGAAAGCTAGGCTTGCAACAACGTGGGCATACACCTGACCAAATGACAAATGCAATATACTATTGATGTGAAAGGTCTGATGTTGTAATACAATTCTGCCGTTATTCAATTCATCAAGAATTGAATAACGTCCTTTGATTATTCGCTAACTGTGAAAGATTGAAGGTAATGCGGGTGATTCATTGATATATTAAATATATACATTTTGGGGATGAAGTCTACTCTAACTTAGTAACTTCATATTTGAAATCCCTTTGTGTTTGTTTGTACGTCCGTGACAAAAAGCCTTGTTAAAGCCTTGATTGAATGCAGTAATAAATCATAGGGTGTCTTTGCCTGAATAAACGAAGCATGTACAGTACAAGCAGATTGTGTGGCCAACATGTAAATGAACTAGTGTTAAAACAGAGGAATGTTTAGTGCCTTCAACCGGTAGCCTCTTTCAGAACATAACACCATAAGTCATATGACAACCTTAACCTGGCCTGATGGCAGCTAGGAATCTTTCTAAAAGATGCATAAGATCCATTTCACAAATGACCCAGCCATGCATGTGCCTGTATCTAAATAGCTAAGAGAGAGCGAGGCGAGGAAGATCTATAAGGGGCCCACAGCAGGAGGAAGGAGAACAAAATGACAAAGATTTATTCTCAGCCATGATCAAATATTTATGCTGAGGCATTCAAGTAAAGTTACTTTTTGTGTTCTGATTTAATGAATGATTTGAGCAGTGGCAGTGCTGGGAGGCACAGATGCTGGGTTTGCTGAAGCCAGTGCTAATGCCCATTCAGGGGTCTGTGTGGTCATGTGTCAGACTGCAGCAGGATCAAAGCAGAGTAATGCCATGGTGGGATCACAGCATAGAGGAGTAGGATGGTAAGTACTTCAGCAGCCCCAGAGGCCTACAGTGGGACAAGGCTGGGGAAGAGGAAGCCAGAGAGGGGGAATCATTACTTCATGCATAGGTCCTCTTTGTTGAGAGACCATGCTGGTCAAATGATGCTTTCCACAACAATCTATTTTATCCATGAAAAATGACTGAATTGTTTGCTCATATTAAAACCATATCATTAACCCAACACCTTGACATCGTTCTATCACGTGCCAGTTTGTTGCCAATCTCCCCATTAGAGATGAGCCACAAAAGGCCTACATTGGGTGGGATTGATCCAAAATGACAAAGCCACAGTGAAAGGAAATGGATCCCGGCAGTGACTCTCCCATTCTCCTTCTGGCGTCCTCTAAAACATTAATGATCCAAAGCTGAATCTGATCTGGCCTTCTTTACTCACTGCTTCATCTCAACTCACTATCTGCACAATATTCACTTAACACCATCACAAATACATACAAAGTCTTAAATCCTAAGCATCTTCTAGAATTTTAACCACAATTAAAATGTAGGTTAAAAGTAGACACTACAGGTAAATAAATAAGGTTATCAATTTAACTAATCAATATCACCATGACATTTCACCGGTTGATCACTTCAATGAAGTCAATCATTTTTTATATGACATCTGAAAATTGATTTGTAAGAATAGTTAACATATTAGTATAACATGTTTATACTGAGAGGGTTTATTTGATGTGTATGACTACATAAATAAATACAAATATACTGTCAACAGCCACTAAAAAATTATGAATAATAAATAAAATGGTGGATAAATCAGGCTATGAATGAAATATAACCAACACTCAGAATATGAAGAAAATAGAGGAATAAACCTGGAAAGTCTGATGTCTGTAAGTGCTGCTGAAGCGGAGATTCATTGCTAAGAGTGAACAAAGTGTGCTTATAGTTATCACCATGACATTTCCAATTACATTTATGTCAAATTTACGAACACACATTAGTAAAACAGTTAGACAAAGCAAGTCAAATAAACACCTATGTGTGTTTTAAAAGTGTCTAGTCATTATTCTGTAAGAACATGTTATGGAAGCAAAATAGCTAAACATCGCACATTTGACCAGAG